TGTGTGTGTGTGTGTGTGTGTGTGTGTGTGTGTGTGTATGTGTGTGTGTGTGTGTGTGTGTGTGTGTGTGTCTTTCTGGGTATGGGTTACATAACTCAGAATGATTATTTATAGCTCCAACTACCATCAAATTTCATAATTTTACTGTTTAATAGATGTATAACATCCTATTGTGTAAGGGTGCCACATTTTCACTGTCCATTTATCAGTTGATGGGTGGCTAGATTGTTTCTATTTCCTGTTTTTGAATAGTCACAATGTTTCTCGGAGTCTCTCAGAATCACTGTCAATTTTGAACCACTAACCAATAGACCCCCATATACTTTCCTTCTCCCCAATGTAGGTTTATCCTTGTAAAAGGATGTACTCCCTCAGAGGAAGGATAGAGAAAGAGCAACAGTAAAAACACTTACAAATTTTAGCCAAGTCCTTTCTCAAAGTTTCTTCCTTGCGTTCAATGGGTTCTGCATCTTCAAACTGACTAATCTGAAAACTGGTTCATTGCCACCATCCAATGTAGCCTTTCTTTTATTTGAAAAATTTTCTGCTTATATAGATCAAACAAAAATACACTAAGATTCTTATCTATTTCACTCCTGGAAATACCATGACTGATTAGTCAGTACCAAAGGTCCATATAAGTCATTCCATCACAAAATTTCAACTCTGCTACCCATTATATGTCAGGCCATGATGGACATTGCTTTACCTTTGTTGCCATTATAATAACTATAATCATCTTGCCTTTGGAAATTCAATGCTGTTACCTGGCTCCTGCTACCCTAGAGCACAATTATGCCCATCACATTTAAATCATCCAATTGAGTAATAGCAGCTCCAACCCTAAGGTCTGACACAAGAAAAAGGGTGAAGAAAAAGCTCTTCAAATGTCATACTGCCTCTTTCACCACTGAACGTCTTTTAAGATTAGTGAAGAATATTCTGTCCCTTCCCATTGTGTTGTACTGTATTTAACACCACATACCTACTCTAGAATTGCAGTTCTCCAAGCATTAAAATATTCTTTTCAACAAAAAAAAGTCTGGGAGTATCAGGCTTCTCTAACTTCTCAGTAGGCAGGTAGGCGGTCTTTTGACAAATGCTTCAGCTAACCATTGCAGCAAACTTTTGACACTTTTCTAACACACACACACACACACACACACACACACACACACACACCAAAATCAAGGTTATGTGCGTTTCCATATGAAACCTATAATCTCCACTGAGTGTGTTTTCATATTAATAAAACGTTAGAGTTTCATGTTCATTCATTATCCCATGCTCTTAATATCCATTCCCATACATATTCCCCAGACTTCTGCTTGAATGAATTAGCAAACTCATTAAGCTCTTTATTGGTGTAGTGTACCTCTTTATGTACTATACTTTTTATCTCCCCTTTATGGGGCTTGATTTACTGTAAGTCTGGTTTTAGGTCTAGAGGTAACTGTTGGACCATGAAGTACATCAGTATTGTCATGGCTACCATTTCCTTCAGGGAAAGTCACTTCTAGTTTACCAGACCATGAAGGAATAATTTCCTCATACAAAAGGTGGACAAGGTAATACTTAAGACTGTGAGAGTAGGGGTGTATCTTTTCCTAAGGGTGGAGAGATTTCTTCTTCTGGTGAGACGAAATTTGAGGGTTCAAAGTTCTCAGCCTCAGCAGGGTCCTCCCACACATCTCTATCCCAGACATAGGATCCCATTATTTACCCATTAATGCCCTCACTTTAATCACCAGTACCCTCAGAGGACGAGATTTGAAATTTCACTGTAATTCAGCCAATTTTTTTTTGTGTCTATCAATTCATGATGTACTAATTTCATTGTTATTTTAAAGATATGACTTTACTAATGTGAGGGCAATACAGATATTTTCTTATTATTGCCGTTTGGTATTTTTTTAAAATTTACATTTAATTTCTGTATTGATTCTTCAGGAGTTTCATGTCATTCACCCCATTTCATCTTATCTCCTGGTACCCTCGTCTCCTCCCCTTACACCTACAGTGCCCCCCCCAACAAAAGAAAACAAACAAACAAAAATAGGAACAAAAAACAAACAAACAAACAAACCTCAGCTGGTGTGCTCACAGGGAATTCCTGCTGGTGTTAGAGGCTTGGACACTGGGATGATCTGGGGGAAGGAATGTTGAAGAAAAAGTATTTGTGATTCACTGGGGATGGGATCTGAGAGGAAAGAAAGACTTCAGTGGGGTTCCTGCTACAGAATGAGAGATGAGACTGGGTGGGTGTTGGTTCTCAGAAGCAGTAGGAGACGTATGGGCCTGCCCTCAGCCTACTTGTTGGCCTGGCAAGAGCTGCCCTTCATTAGCAAGGGGTGCCTGTGGAGGTTGGAACCCTGGAAAAAGCAACAAGTGGTAGGAGGAGAGTTACTTAAGATCCACAAGATATGGTAACCGCGAGTTTTGCTGCATATCTGGGATGAGAATTGGCAGAACAACCTTCGTCCTTGTCCTTTGTATAACTGCAATCACAAGGTTTGTCCCAGATTTAAAGTGATTTTTTTCCACATTAAAAGATTTAGTGTGGCTCTTCCCACATCAAAAGATCCATATTTAGGATAGGTCTTCCTACTTCACATGATTTAATTAAGAAAAACCCCTTCCAGTTGTATCTAGCTACTTGGGGCTTAGTTAATTCCAAATGTATTCAAATGACAACCACAAATAGCCACTACTATGGCTTCAATTTCCCAGTTCTTTGTGCTCAACTTTGAGTATTTGCACAAGTGAAGAAACCAGAAAAAAGCCAATGAGGAAAAGATGCTTAGAAGAGGAAGGATTGTAGGACACGAATAATGCAAAAGTATATATTGGGAGTGGGGAGGATTAAGTCAGCAGTGGGAGGAAATATGGGAGAGACGAAGGGATGAAGGTGAGGGTGAAACAGTTTGAAGGAGATATTAAAATCCATATTGAATCCTACTATTGTGCAAGCAAATTAAACCCACATTTTATATTTAAAAGAAGAATTGAAAAGAGATATCCTGACTTGTCCCAAAAAAAAAAAAAAAAAAAAAAAGCTGCTTCTAGAGCAATGGGTTATAAATAAAACACAGTGCCAGGGATCTTCAGTTTTGATTTACTAATTGACCAAAGAAGTCTCAGTTGCTTACAAAACAATATATGCTCTAGCTATTTCTTTTGGTTGTCCACCAGAACATTTTCATAAGACCTTATCCGTAAAGACACCAAATATCTTGGTAGCATGATATAGAGAAATCAAGCTGGAATTGAACTGGGAGCTTCCTATTTTCTGTCTTGCTTTCATAGCCATGGAAGGTGTTTTTCAAGATGTTAGAAGAGAAAGGGCTTCAGAAATCTTGCCAAGCTGTCAACCCTATGAACAGGAAGACCAACTTGCCAGGTGTGATATGCTCCTTTGTACAATAGTAGCACTACTGTTATTGGGGTAACCAATCATTCTCTGGATCTAAGGACCTATTTCACAAAATGGAATCTCCCTGCACTTGTAAAACTGATCTGAAGCAAATTGTACACCAGGTTGTAAGCATTAGTGAGGCATTGAATACAGTTGTTAAGTTAAATTGAAAAGCATTGCAATACACCCTAATTATACAATTCTACCAATAGATAAATGCCTTATCAGAGAAATTTCTCATTCCAATGAATGCATGGATGAATACTCTGGGCTACACAAGACTTTGAGAATACTTGAGAATAGTAGCAGACAAATGCTCACACCTAAACAAGACATAGCCTTCCCTTTAAGGTCCAAGAAACATTACAAAAGAGGTGGCAGAAAGTAGATAAGAGATAAGAGATAGAGGAAAATACCTGAAAATGCAAGTTCCCAGAAAGAAAGAGCCATCACAGTCACTAACTCACAGTACCTGTAGATGTCTGTTCTGCATTGACACAATAATGGGTCTTTCATCTGTAGAGAATTGAGGAGGAATGATGTGGTCCTATCATTCAAAGCTGACTATTAACTCATGATAGATCCAAGGAGAGGAAAAAGCAGTGTCTTTCCTTGTGTAAATTGTGTATCCAGTGGTAGCCTCAGTAGTCTTCAATGCATAGTTCCAGTGCAGTGGTTCAGATGATCCTGTTTTGACTACTGGATAGGGAGGACCAGGAAAGTATATTGTTGGTTAGAGTGTAAGGTAGATAAAATAAATATCTAAGGAAAAGATATGCACACTATAAAGATGCCTTCAATTTTGATGCCATCAATATTAAATTATCTATATATTTTATACAGAGCTTTTAAAAAATTACAAAACTTGCACAAAATAACAAACATCTTTAAAAAATAAAAACCTAAGTCATTTTGTATAAAAAGAGCAAAGCAAGAGGTGTTAAACTACCTGGGCTTAAAATACTTTGAAAAGCTATTGTTATCAAACAGCGTGGTACCCTACATAAAAACATAGTGGAGAACTTTGAAGTCATCCCAGATATTTGCAGACAATTTATATTCAATAAAGGTGGTAGGAACTAAACTCAGTCTTTCCAATGATCCGATTAGAATCTAACATGTTTTCCACCAGAGTAGCCCACACTTATTTTTAAGTTAATCTCTTTTGGCTACTTGAGTCTCATGTCAACTGAATCTGTGCTATGGTCCTTTGCAGTATAACATTTTATTTGTTATCTAGGTGTCAGTGTAAGTGGTGGTTTCCAGAGAGAACCTTTTTTGCATATCTAACACTGACTTACCTTGATTATCTTATCATCCTATTCAGCTTCTTAATATTTTAATCCTTCTTTTATTCTTTCATTCAGTTTATTTCTTTGTTTCGTCACTACAATACACATACCAAAATGGAAGAAACTCTCAATTTCTTCTTCATCATCATCATCTCCTCCTCCTCCTAACTCTCTTCCTCCTCTTAATTCTTCTTCATGTTTTTCTTAACCTTGGACTTGCCTGTGTAACAACCCTGGCTGTCCTGGAACTCACTTTGTATACCAGGCTGCCCTTGAACTCACAGAGATATGCCTGCCTCTGCCTCTGGAGTGTTGGCATAAAAGGCTTGTGCCACCACTGCCCAGAAAAACTCTTATCTTCTTGACTGCACCTGTGGTACAAGTATACCTAAATCAAATATATCTTTAGTTTTTCCATGTGTGATTTAAGTTGTATTTCCTGAAAGGACTGAGAGGAAAGTAACATAATAAAATACAAAATAAACTTCAATGCAAATAGTTTGTCTTTGTTTTATGTAAAACCATGTATCTATTCTCTTTTCCCTATCTGTTCTCTCCATTGTGTCTGTATGTCTTACTATCATCTATATAATGTTTATTTTGATTTGTAAGACCACAAAACATTAATTATTTCTTTGGTTTATTTTTTGCTATACTATTCTTTAATAATTAACACTATACTAGGATGGACAGTATTAGTAATGGAAGTAATAACGCCACTTCAAGCAATTACCAGGTACCTAAAACATCCAAGTAATGACTACTTTAAAACAATTCACTATTGTTACCAATGCATATAATACAATTAAAAATAATAAATATCTCTATCATCATTATTTCTTAGAAACCAAGACTTTCTCATTAAGTTGAGGCACTTTGATTGTTGAAGTTTCTAAAGTCTACCATTGGAAAATTTAAACCTAATATTAATAGCTCTTTTTAACCTCTGAGGAGAAAACGAATAGATTTTTTAATAGCCAGACTCATTATCCATTGACTCATTACCATTCTCTTAGCTAGTTCTTGACTCGTAGTGACTTAAGTGTTTAGAAGCCTGTTAACTCTACACTGATAGGGTTTCATTTAATGAACTGCTGCAAAAATACCCTAAGAAGTTGTGGGTTGGAGACTTGATGTCCTAGATACCTAAATACAGGAAAGGAGTAATCAAGACAGAGAAACATGTAGTCCATTTCATGGATTTTTTTCTGATTAAAAAGTTCTTTTACAACACAAGTAAATGAGAAGAACAGATTTTCTCATTACAAATTACTTAGGAAACAATCTTGTGTAATCTGACACAGAACCCTCATCCCAGGTTGCCCCTTCATATCACCACTCCAGGTTTAGGTAGAGACTCATCTGCAAGCTTTATCTGTGAGTCAGACTCTTGTCTCTCCCATATACCATCCTCTTCCTGCTGTAGGTCCAGATAAGAGACTCATATGCTATTGGTCTTACAGAGACATACAAGGGCACTCACCTTCTAGAGCTGCAACTCTAACACTTCTAGCCCTGAGCCAGGCAAAAGTCACATGTATGGTTTCTTTTGCCAAGTCTCACCCAAAATCCTGACCTTGCACTGCCCATCCACATCACCCTTTCATGCCCAGGTAGGAGGAGCATCTGAAAATGCTTTCTTGGAGTCTAAGTTTATTCAACCCACACCACCTACCCTCATGTCTAGGCCAAGATAGGAACCATATTGAGCTGTTACAAGGACCCTTACCACATATTTTCTATCCATGCCATGCCTATATGCCTTGGAGGGAGAAAGATCTTTGAGTTCTACTACACCAACTCAATTGGAATTTACATCCACTTACTCCCTTGAAGAGTGCTATCCAGAGAATTATAAAAACCAACAAAGCAAGTTAAATAATAGGCTAAGGCTCTGAGCAGACAATTCTCAAAAGAAGAAAGAAACATGACTTAAAAGAATATAAGAAAGTTTCAGCATCCTTAGAATCAGGGAAAATCAATGTAAAACTATTTTGAGATTTCACATTACCACAATCAGAGTGAGAAAAATCAAGGAAACTATGGGCAACAAATGTTGACAAGATGCTGAACTGCCAATAGCTAGGTAGACAGTACTAGAGAGATTTCTGAGGAGAGGAAAGAAGAGGAGGAGGAATCTAGGGACATGGGAGTCGCCAGGAGACAGGGAAGAAGCAGGATGTGTGGTATATGAGATGATGCAGATTAATAGAAATGAGTTAATTTAAGTTATAAGACCTAGTTAAAAACAAGCCTAAGCTAAGTACAAAGTTTAATAATTAGTAATAAGTCTCTATGTTGTGATTTGCTGGTTGGCAGGACAAAGAAAGACTCATTACATATGACACCTGACCTCCAGGTATGTATTTCCACATAAAGCCTGAGAAACCTTAAAAAACAAAACAAAACCAGAAACAACAACAGCAGCAGCAGCAGCAACAACAACAAACAGACACAGAGTCATAGTAACCCAGTGCTTGTGGCTTACAGAGGCGTGGCTACTGTACAGTAAGCACTTGAGCAGTGTAGGCTGAGGAAATTCCCAGAGATGGCACATGTAAATGCTGTTCCCAGCTCTCAAAGATCCGCAGTGGTATGGAGTCAACTGTCAGCACAGCTATGCGGCACGTTTGAGGGTTGGTTTACACAGTCAGAGAAGGCAGCTGTCATACAGAAAGTCAGGGATGGGGGTGGGATGGGGGGAGGTGGGAGGAATGGAAGAAGGGGAGGAAGGGGGAACATGGGTTGGTATGTAAAAGGAAAGAAAAAAATTTAAATAAGAAAAAAATTATAAAAAAAAGTTAGGTCCAGACTGAGAAAAAACAAAAACAAAGAAAAAACAAACCTCTAAACAGATATGGTATGCTTGAAAATGTGCTTAGATGCTGAAGAAAGAAAAGAAAATATGTATTAGACAGTCATAAAAAAATAAATATTTTAATAATAAGATGAAGTAGTTTTTTAAAGAAAAAGTAAAGTAATATAAAAAGAATAAGCCACATAAAGATTGGAAATATAACAACCCATGAGTTTGGACCTTACATGGTGTTTTGGTAATTTTGAATTTTTTTGTGTGCTAATTGAACAGAAAATAACAGCTGCTGAGAGACATTGGATCGTGGAAGGGTTGCTGAGATAAATTAGCCTATATACTTTACAGATGTCTTGGCCTCGGAATGGAAGTCAAGAAATGTGTTGAGTTGAGAAGAGGTTATGCCTTTGTTTCCGCAGGAAACAAAAAGCTATGGATTCCTTCAAAGTTACCAGAGATCAGATTTCATCTCATTGAGGGAGACCTGAGTATCTTGACTAGAGACATGAAGGAAAAAGCTAAGGTAGACGACAGGACAGGTGATATATATGCTGGTCCCTCAGCATGGGAACAGCTCTGAGACTGGATGAGACATGATAAATCTGGCTGTCCAGATTTATAAATACAGAGTCCTCATGACAATTTAGTTATATAGTCCAAAGGCACTTATAAAATTGACAAATGCCTTTTACCTATTCAAGCATAGGACAAAAAATAATTTTTAGCTGACTTGTGTATTGTGGGCATTCCATGCTTGCACTAATACAGATATATATGTTACCTTTAAAAGTTTATGTTTTTAGCAAAAAAAAAAAAGGAGCAGACATCAATGAAAACAGGGTGATCTAGCCTCTCAGCATGCTTCTGTTACAGTTTACTTATAGTTCTGCATCCAGAACAACATCAAAGCTGAGACGATCCAGCCTCTCAGACTGTCCAATCAGGATTTCAGATAAGCTCTACACTTTCCCATCACACAGAGGCTAAACAAAAATTACACAGCTACTTCACCCAGGACTTGACCATTATGGCAATATTCTCAGGGTCCCCTAGAGATGCCATCACCACAACCCCCAGACAACAGGAAGTAATTTTAAGAATGTGACATCCACATTCCCAAGAGGTGGGGTGGGTGGTTTCTGATCATTTGGTGGGTTATGAATGTTTGTCACCATTTATCAGGGTTGGTTGCGAAGTGTTACTGGTCATGGTAAAGGAGGAAACTAAGGAAGGGTGGTTGGATTTAAGAATCTCATTCTGGAAAAATAAAGAGCAGATGTGGAAAGAATAAGATAAGAGTGTAGATTATTGGATCTACTTTAAGCTAAAAAGTAACTATTAATCTCAAATATTTTTACATTGGCATGGATTTTTGTATATTGATAAAATTTAAGGTTATTTTGTTAGAAAATACTCTATATAGTTTCTACTCTTGTTTAAGACATTTTTGCTTATCGATATATGTCTGCTCCTGGCAGCAACACTTTACTTCAAAAAAGGATGATGGACATCAAAGAACCTTCAAATGGAGTTTATTTTCAATTTGGCAAAGCTAGCCATTTGTGGAAGAAACTGACCTTGCCTAGAGTGTTGACAGTATACGGTACAAACTGGACAAGCATGATACAAAGGAAAAAGACTTCCCAATTTTGCCAAGTCCTTCCAACTTCCTGCTCTATAGAAAAGTCTATCAGATATTCTAGGCCTGTAGGGCAAAAAATGAATGCTCCACTACTGCAGAGAAATATTGTCCCATAGCCAGCTATTTCTGTCATTTCTGTAGTTTTGGAAGATGCTTGCTCTATACTTGCTGTTTACTCAGGTGGTATTACCTAATTATTGGTCCTCTGATGGAGTTGAAGATGAGATGGTTATAATTACAATTTTTCTCATTACTAAATTCAGAAGAGAAACCTTCCAAAAGAGGCATAAGGAGTATCGGATTGAGAGACATAAAAGCTTAAAATGTTTATCCAAGAAAAAAAAATTGATGTCTAAGAAGATACTTTTGGGTTGCTAATACAAGTTAGAATAGAAATCAAATTAGGTGCAAAACTTTTGACTCATCAAGATCTTATAGCTAGCTGGGTGATTGGCACACGCCTTTAATCTCAGCACTCAGGAGGCAGAGCCAGGCAGACCTTTGTGAGTTTGAGGCCAGCCTGGTCTACAGAGCGAGATCCAAGACAGAACCAAAACTACAAAAAGACACCCTGTCTCAAAAAAAAAAAAAAAAAGAAAAAGAAAAAGATCTTATAGATAATAGAGTAGTTTCTCTGAATTTGCCAAATACAAGTGAACTGGGCTTTGTGAATATAATCCTTACTTGATAATTGTTCCTCTTGTACATAGTTTTACTGTATTAGAGTTAAAACTTTTCCTTTTTATTTAGATAAAAATGGGGAAATGTTGTGGGACATTTGCATACTGTGAAAATGTACTGTTGTGATTGGTGTAATAAAAAGCTGAACAGTCAAAAGCTAGGCAGAAGGTATAGGCAGGACTTCCAGTAAGAGAAAGGAGGAGACAGGGGACACAGAAGAAGTAGAATAAATATTACATGATGGAATGCAATTAGTAGAAATGGCTTAACTTAAGTCATAAGAGCTAGTTAGAAACAAGTCCAACATAAGGCCATTATTAATTAATTTCTTAATTAATATGAAATCTTTGTCTTTATTTGTGAGCTGGTTGGCATGACAGAGGAAGACTCATTACAGACTCCCTCTTGGTTTTGTGACATCAAGGGAAAGAGCTTTGATTCTTTCCTTGATATGATACTCACATATTATTGGTAACTTGAATTTTTTTATTGATCCATGCAAACGGACCACAATAACTGCTTTGGAAGTTGGTACTTACTCACTTGAGATAGAGTATATACCGTAGAACAACTTTCCTATGTTGTGCTTGAATTTTGGCACATCGTCTATGAGCAAAACACAATGTCAATCTAACAACATTATGATCTGAAACAAAGATTCATAGAACAGTATTAACTTTATAAAACATTACTTTTTAAAATATATTTTTATTTTTTATTTATGTGTATGTGTGCTGTTTCTGTCTGTGTCTGTACCACACAAGTGTGCATACCTATGGAGTCCAGAAGATGTCAGATCCCTTTGAGCTGGAAATGTGAGTCGCCAGAACTGGGTAACTGCAACAAATTTCAATCCTCTGATAGAGTCGCAAGTGCTCTTGACTGATGAGTCATCATTCCAGCCCCAGGCATGATATTTCTATAGGAAATACCTACTGTATGACTTCTCATCACTCAAGTTAAGTTATTGTGCTTGATTTGCTGCAACACTAGAACATGTAGTCCCTACGCATCAGTCTACAACTGCTCCATAGGTTCACCGTCTTAGATATGTTCAAATTACTTGATACTTAAGTATTCTGTGTATTTTCCTCAGGTCTCAGAATCATTCAATAGAAATTTCTTTTCTAGAACATTGGCACAGGTTTGGAAAAGAATGTGATAGAAGAATATTTGTAATTGTTTTGGGAGATACCTTTAACACTATTTCAAGGCAGCCAGCTTTTTGGACACTTGTACAAAGTATTGATATATTCATATAGACCTCTCATTGAGATGATTGTCAGGCAATGAAGATTCAATCAGTATTGGATTAGAATATGCTTTTTTAAGTGGTTGCACCCAGGCAGTGATTCTCTCCTAAACTGACCAGTGATTACAAGTAACTCCTTGGTTGAGGAATCTAATCTTTGAGCTCATTTTTTGTTCAGGAAAGAAGAGGATCTGCTCAGCTCCCTGTTGAAGGTTAACTTGATGCTTGACTTTGGGGTCTTATAATTATATATAGTTGGGCAAAGTTTTGTCTGTTATTATGGGTTCAACCCAGAACTTTATCGGTACTAGGCAAGCACTTCTGCCTAGGTATTCTCAGTCTGGTAAATGTATATTGTATATATTCAAGAGACCTTATTGATGTCTGGGTTTAAAGAACTTTGGCATATTTTTGTCCTTTTTTGAGGTCCATGTGCTCTGTGTGAAAGTAATTGTCTAGGATATATGTACAAGGCCCTGATCTTTCCCCAGAACTGTATAAACCACAAGTGGTACTTGTCTGTGCCTATAATCACTATAAGATCACGCTATAAATTCAAGACCAGACTGGGTTACAGAACTTAATTTTTATTCTGTAAATGTGATATGCCTGACAAAACTGATGTTAACATTTGTGTAAATTAAAGGAAACATTTTAACTAAAAAAATTAAAAAAAAAAAGAATTAGAATACTAGAGTACCCTCAATCTTTGCTTTAAAATGGAACTAATATCAATACAAAGACTAAAAGTTATCTTTGAATATACTTCTGTGTTTCCATAACCTACAAACAAGCATGTGCTTAGAGGTAACAAATCATATTATACGATATTCATTATAGAAAATAAATACATTATCCATTATCTGTCACACAGATGACAATTCTAAATTTTATAGAACACAAATGTAAGAATCTTTGAATAATAATTTTGTTTTTAAGCAAAGATGTAATAATTCAGGATATGTTTTCATTAATTTCAGAACTTTTCACAATGATAATGTATTATTGGGATATGGTAATAAATAAATAACATGTACTAATAGTCCTGAACCAAGATCTAATGTTTTGAATATTGATAGAAACCTGTGGAATTCTTCAGAGAATCCAAAGTTCCCAATGACTGATTTCTGACACTTATTCTACAAACCCCTTCTGGTGGTTGGAAAGAAAATGACCCCGGTAAGGAGGGTCCTGTGAGGAAGTGTGGTCTGGTTGAAGAGAGAAGGCCACTGTGGTGGACTTTGAGGTCTCCCCTGCTCAAGCTGTGTTCAGTGGACACACAGTTGCTTCACTTCTGCTGCCTGAGGATCAAGACGTAGAACCCTCTCTTCCTTCCCCGGCACCGTGCTGGCTTGCACACTGCCCTGTTCCCTGCCATGATGATAATAGACTAAACCTGGATCTGTAAGTCAGCCCCAATTAAATGCTTTCCCTGTAAGAATTGCCATAGTCATTTTGTCTCTTCGGAGCAATAGAAATACTAACTAAGACACTTCTCAAGTTGTAATCAACATATAAATTCCTTAAAATCCTGTTAGCATTGTGGTGTTTTATATAAGTTTAGAAAAAAAAAAGTTTAAGAAAAGTCATTTCAGTGTCATTAGAGAATTACTTAAAATATGGTAGGCCACTGAAAACTGTATGATGGGTCTGACCAATAATTTTCAGGTATTGTGATAAGAAATTATGTAGAAATTTATTTTAAAATGAAAATATTAATGCAAAGGCTACATTTAAATATTATTGAGTTCAAGGTGAGGTTTTCAGGTATAAGAGTTACATCATTACAAAATAATGCAACTTACAAGGTATGCCATTGCTTTATGAGGAAAATATTTAATATAATTCAGCTTTAAAATAACAAGACACATGTAGGTGTTGAAAATCAAAGCCAGGTCCTTTGGAAACATAGTCAGTACTCTTACCTGCTCTTCCATCTTTCTAGTCCTGCCCACCTCCCTTTTTTCCCTTTCCTACATTAAGTAAAATAAGGTCTCCTTTAGTACAGACTGTCATTGAGTTCTCTATGTGAAAGAAGATGAACTTGAACTCTGATCCTTCTGACTCTACCTAAGATCACAGGTATGCCTCATCATAGTCTGGTCTCACATGTGCTGAGTAAACACGATAGCAACTGATCTATACCCTCAGCCCTGTGTTATTTACTGTTAGACATGACAAATACATTAAAAGACATTTTCTTTGAATATATTTAATTAATTGTGACTAATGTATTACTAAAGCACAATAATTTCATTTTGCTTTATTTCATAAAAGAGTTGTATTTTGTTAAGTATTGACCTTTATTGCCTGAACTACATAAAGCCAAATTTGAAATAGTCATTACTAGATTTATTCCATACAACATCTATTTATAAATATGCTATTTTTCTTTTCTTCTCTGTTCAATATACAGACCATAAATGTTTACCATATATGTTC